GAAGAGCGTGTCGGGCAGAAGGAAAGGCGAGGGCAAAGGCACTGTGCAGGGAGGCTGAGACAGAGACTGCGGACGTCAAGACCCAGCGTCCCGGGGAGCATTGGTCCTCTGCATCCAGCTTCTCCCCTGGGACCCGTGGATCAGTGCTGCACCCAAGCCTTGGCCGGCGGTCCTCTGGAGGACCTGGGGGGTCTGGTGGCGGCAGGCAGGCATCTGCTGCGTTTGTTTCTGGGCTGTGGGCTCGGTGTGGGCGCCGTGCCAGGCGAGGGTGATCGCGGGAGTCCTTCCACTGCCACACCACCTGCTCACCATCTGCCTGAGAAAATCCTCCTCCCCGCTCTGCTGCTGCTGCCAGTGCCCGTGAGGAGTGGACTGGGCTCTGCCGAGTAGTGCCGCCTTCTCACTTTCTCCACGCCCAGCCTCAGGCCCTGTCTCCAGCAATCTGAAGGCAGGCCTGCGTCTGTCTGCTTCCTCTTCGAGCCCCGTCACCAGTAAAGGGCCCGTCCGAGGTTTCTCGGAGGGGACACGGAGAATGCAGTTCGGGTTGGGGTCTGGTTGTATCCTAAACCAGAGCAACGTGGGATCCCTTTCAGAAAGTCCATGTGTCGATGGAAACTGCGAGGCTCATTCTCACTGTCGTTTATGGAGCACATTTTCTGTTCCAGGCCTCACGCTAAGTTTTATATTGCGTATAATGTTCGTAACACCCCTGCAAGATTGGTATGGTTGTTATTACCCGCATTCTAACAGAGAGGGAAGGCAGACTTGGAAACTGAGGTGCTGCACCCACGATCGCACAGCAGTAAGTGGAACAGGCACAGCTGAACCCGACATCCAGTCCAAAGCCAGCGCTGGGAACCGCGATGCTATGCCCCTCTCAGAACTCGGGCTCTGCAGTTAGGCCGGTCTGAATGCACATGCTAGTCCGGCTACTGCTGCTATGTGCCTTGAGGAAATTACTAGTTCTCTCTGAGACTTTTCATCATCTGTAAAATGGGAATAATGATGCCTACCCCACGGAGTTAACGAATGATTAGAAATCACACTCATATAAGGCACCTGGCAGGTAATGGTAGCTCCATAATTAAGAGCTATTCAGATAATGACCATGCTGATCATGGGGCTCTGAGATAGAGCTGAATGTGGGTAATTAAAAGACTTTTTCAGGTCTTTGGTTGTTGCTAAGTAGTTCACGTGTGTGCACGTGCGTGCGTACGTGCGTGTGCGTGTGCGTGTGTGTGATGAATGGGCCATGGGTCGCGGGACTGGAGAACCCTGAGCAGGTCCAGGCAGGGACTCCATAGCCCCTGCCTGGGCCAGCCTCTCTGCTCTGGGGACTCTCAAGTACCCGGGACTCCAGGGGGATTCCTCCCTTGCGGATGGGGGAGGGGGACGGGGAGGGGTCTCCTGCAGCCCCTTATGCCACAGAGCACTGAAATCCAGGAGGCAGAGCCTAGCCCTTGATCATGTGGTAACTGGGCCTGGAGGTGGGGATTTCTGTCACTTACATGTTCGTGAGAAAAAAACCACCGTTGTCAACGCCTGGTCAGTTAGTTCAGTTCAACACTCTGCAGCTTTTGCTCAAAACCACTGGATTGGGGATGCTCCTCGGCTATCCCCCACGACCCCCTCCCCAGTGTGTGTGAGTGTGTTTGTGGCTGGGGCTTCTAGCTTCCTTTACAGGAAACCAGCAACATGCCACCTGATGGCCCACTCCACACCCTGGTATTAGGGACAGGCATAGACGGTAAAGTTAAAAGGCATCCATATGACAGCTGCTGAGTACTTACTGAATGTTAGGTACTGTCCTAGGTGCGCTGTATGTGTTACTGTACGCTTGATTCTCACAGCAAGGCTGTGTGGCAGGTCCTAGTGTGCAGACGGGAGGCCTGAGGTGCAGCCACTGGCCATCACCACCCAGCTAGGGAATGACAAAGCCAGGATCCACACCTGCTGCTCTGTGTAAATCCAAAGCCTGAGTTTTCTCCACTGAATAATACGAGGGAGTTTGAGGATCCAGGCGTTTGAGCATGTTTGCTTAATTTCTAGTCTTCCCCTACAACATGTATGTGTGTGTGTGTACGTACGTGTGTGTGCAGGGGCGTGGGTCTGGGACTCCTGTGGGTGTGAGGCCTGGGGTTGGCTGTCCGGGGCAGGGAGGCTGTCCGACTGGCCTCATAGGAAGCCTTTGGCTCTCTTGTCTCAGGCTCAGGCCCATAGGTGGCACTCTGACACTGTCTATTGGAAGCACAGCTACAGCTGAGAAAGCCACCAGGGAGCCCTGTTCCCCAGTGGCAGTCTGCCCCTCAAGCTTGTCACTATACACGTAAACACCCCTGGGGACAGGACACCCGGGGATGCCAGCTCCCTCCTGCTCAGCTTGTACCAGGTGGGTGCATCAGACAGGCTGGGGACTGTCTTGAAACTCTCGACGTGCCTAGTGCCTTCAGATGGGTGCCCTGGGATGGCTGGAATCTGGGAAGCCAGGAGGGTCCTGGGGAAGAGGACCCAGTCACAGCTTTGCTGACCCCAGTGAGGTGCAGCGAGGGGTCCAGCTACTCAGGAAACCTCCAGGCGAAAGTGGCGGGCGGGCTTTGGAATCACGTAGCCCTGGGTCTTAACCCAACCCTACTGCTTACACTGACCCTACTGGGTCAGTGAGTCAAGCCCTTTCAACAGTCTGAGGCTCAGTTTCCACATCTGTAAAATGGGAATCAATAAGTCCTTCCTCACAGGGGAAAAGATGACTAAAATGTCAAGCAGAGTGCTTGGCACATCATCCATACTTTATAGATGTTAATATGGAGGCAGGATAATGTGTTATAGATGCTGCTGGGTGAGAAGAAAGGAGGGAAGGGTTATCCTGGAATTAGCTTGGATTTCTGGGGAGGACAGGAGAACTGGGATCTCTATCCTAGCCCTTGTTGGCTGATCTGAGCCTGTCAACAGTGAAGGTTGGCCTTTTAATCCTCCATCCCTGTAACCTCCTCAAGCTGGAACCAGCGCTTCCAGGGCTGGCTGTCCTGCGGGCAGGGGAGGGAGGTGCGGGGAGGACCTGGGAATCACCCTGGAAGGAGGTCAGTGTGGTGGGTTCAAGGGATGCCTCTACTTGGACGTACTTTAACTCTCTGAGACTTAATTTCCCCATGTTCAAGAAAGAAAATACAAATATTACATTTCCTCCTTATCTCACTGCATCACTGTCGAGACTATATGGGGTCCTCTATGATGGGTGTGAATGTGATACAACTGGGCAGCCCCCAGCAGTGCTGGGGAGAACGGGAGAGTTGCTGGCAAATGCTGTTTTGGAGTGACCTGTAAAGTGGACTTATCCACTGTCCTTGGAGAAGGGAGGGTCAGCAGTGAACAGTGCCCCTCCCTGGGCCGTGGATGGTAGGGGGTGGGGCCTCCTGTCATACCTTGTAGCCGTAGGGGCAGGCGCAGCGGTACTGCTCCACGGGATCCTGGCTACATGTCCCGTTGTTCTTGCACGGGCTGGAAAGGCAGGCATTGCACTTGGCCACAATGCTGATGTCCACTGGCCCTGGACAGCAAAACCAGAGTGTTGGTGGCAGGTTCCCAAGTAGGCTCACTGTCACACCTCCCTCCTCCTCTGCTCTGGCCCCTTCCTCAGTCAGCTACCAGCCCCTCCCATCTCTGTCCAGAGGGCAGCTGGCCCTCCGCAGCCAGCACATCCAGTCCAGCTAGAGTCCCATTAATTCAGCCATCATCCAGAGAGGAAAAAATCACAGCAGGACATCATTCAGAAGCACTTCTCAGTCAAATCAATTACTGTAATTAGCCTGATCTGATTTTGGTGCTAATCTGCAAACAATGCACCATAATTAGAAACCCCTTGTGTATCTCTTTATGTTCAGGGAGCTCTGGGCCCAGGCTCCATTTGGACCTCCCATTTTTCCTTCCCCAAACACCCCTCCTCATGGAACAGTCTGTGCAGGGCTAAGGAGGACACAGTGCCTGGGCCAAAGGCACACATCACACAGGAAGTTCTCCTTGTAGAACCCTTGAGTCGGCAGGAAGAAGTAAGAAATGGGCCTGGAAGACACAGCAACGATGCTGATGAGGGATTACGGTTTCAACTGTGTCCTGCTCTCCTCGGCCATCAGGGCTGGAGGGAGGGAGGCCACGTCCCTACACAGAGCTTTGTAACAGGGGCTGTGCTACCGCTGCAGCCGGTGTTGACAAAGCCCTGGATAATCAGGCCCTATTTCATGTCAGGACTTTAAATGATCCCAGGATAACAGTCATCAGTTTGGAGATTGGCTTGAGATTGACCGCAGGGTGAGTCTGACCATTTGTGGGTGGGGTGAACAGAATGGGCTGATTGAGAACCAATGCCAGCTGGCTCAACTCTGGCTTCACCGAAGAACAGAGACATCGTCTGTTCCAGGGAGGCTATGTGTTCCAGGGACACAATGAAGTTTTAGAGGTAGAGTGTATCTGTAAATCAGAATAAACATTGAGGCCTTAGGTGATGAGCAAAGGACATTAATAGGCAAATGTGTAGTACAAACGGAAAGTAAATTTTGGGGAAAAAAATAGTTCCCCCAATAATCAAAAACAAAATATGAGGGGATATAATGTTTTACCTATTAAATTAGCAATGATTACAAAATGAGATAAAATAATGCAAGGGTCTGATGAAAAATGCACTCAAACGATGCTACTGGGAGTGAAAATTGGTTACAACCTTTTCTGGAAATCAGTTTGGCATTAAGTGTGAAAACCTTAGTAATGACCATATACTTTGGCTCAGTAATCTCTGTTCTCTGAATCTTATTTAAGGACATAATTTTAAATAGAGAAAGACATTTATGCAGCCGTGGTCAGAAAAAAAAAAAAAAATGGAAATACTCTCAAAGTTCAAAACCAGGAACTGGTTAAAGAGGTTATGATGGAGTGTTACAGCTTGGAGGTTGAGACCATGCACTCTGGAATCAGAAAGACTTGGAATTCTCTTAACTGTGTGATCTTGAGAAGTCATCTAACCTCAGTAAGCCTCGGTTTTCTCATTTTTAAAAGAACACTACTAAAGTAGACTCCACAGAGGTGCTGGGGAATTAAATAAACGACTCCATGGAAAGTGAGAATTAAATGAAAGAATACATGAAAAAGTGCTTAACATAATGCCTGCCACATAATAAGGACCCAGTAGTCGTTTGTTGTCATAATAATCATGCAGTCAAATCAAAATCTCATGTGCCCAAAATGTGCTGTAGTAAAACGGGAAAATGCTTATGCTCTAAGATTGTTGGGTAAAAAATGCAGGTTAGGGCTTCCCTGGTGGCGCAGTGGTTGAGAGTCCGCCTGCCGCTGCAGGGGACACGGGTTTGGGTCCCGGTCCGGGAAGATCCCACGTGCTGTGGAGCGGCTAGGCCCGTGAGCCATGGCCGCTGAGCCTGCGCGTCCGGAGCCTGTGCTCCGCAACGGGAGAGGCCACAACAGTGAGAGGCTCCCGTTCCGCCAAAAAAAAAAAAAAAATGCAGGTTAAAGATTTTCTCAACTATGCAAAAATATGTAGAGTAAGAGGTCAACGAGGAATATGTAGAAATGGCAGCAGAGGGACTTAGGGGAGCGAATGACAAGTGGACCCTTAGATGCAGGTCCACATCAGTTTCAGCATCTGAGTCTTTGTGTGGCCAATGCAAGAACAGGGCGACGGTTTTAGAAGTCACACCTGTTGAGATGCCTATAGCTCTGACAGGCTGCTGGGGACACAGCAGACCCTGCAGGGGGCAGGGAGGGGTGGAGGGGTGAGTCAGCACCTACCTTTGCACTGGAAGCGGTGGGTAGGTGTGGTGAGTAGGAGTCGGTCAGCCATGGGCTCGGGGCTACTGCAGCGGGCGATACCAGGCTCCTTGTACCCGGCCTTCACCCACTCTGACAGCCAACGCAGGCTGCAGTCGCAGTGGAGTGGGTTGGTTCCCAGTGCCCTACGAGGCAGAGCAGGAAGTCAGGCTCCCCCGCCCAGCTTGGCCCATAGGCCCCGTGGTCCTGGTCCTCTGGAAAAGCAGAATTTTCAGACTTTGGCTAGATTGGGGGTGTCTGACAGGAGGACCAGCAGAGACTTCACTGGGGTGAAGCCAGTAACTCCAGACTGTACCTCCAATCCCTGCAGATGTTTCAACCCCACCCAAGCCCCTCCCATCCCTAAGGCTTTGCTCTCACCTACCCTGGTAAGATTCCATCCTCAACTCACCCCCCATCTCAGCCCCTCCAGGAGGCTCCCTGGACCTCTGGCCATTGATTTTCTGGCTCTCTTGCCCCACTAAAGGTTGCACTGGAGCAGGTACTCTGCAGAGAAGGTTTTGATATCCGGCAACCTAGGAAGCAGCTTCAGACCACTGAAGGAGCTCAGCACAGGCCACCCCCAGATATGCTGCTTTGTCTATTGACTATTTTGAGGTGAAGGCTCTTGAGAAACAGCAGATGCTGTTTCTAGCTAAAAGCAGGTCATATTTCCTATGAGAACGGTACCCTCCCCGGGCCAGGAAGAGAAGGGAGTTGATACCAAAATGGATCTGTACAAACAAACCTACTAAAATAACGCTGATCTTCCATCAGTTTCTGCGTGATTTCCTAGTCCCGGTCCCATGATTTACCGCCCCCAGTCCAAGCTCCTCTGTCGTGTCAGAGCCCCACACTTCATCTTTCTTTGTGTAAGAATGGTATAAAAGCTTTGGGGCCCAATGGCTTCTTTGGGTTTTCATTCTCCTTTTGAAGGCTCCCACATACACATAAAAATATTAAATACATTTGTATGCTTTTCTCCTGTTAATCTGTCTTATGTCGGGCCGGCCACAGAGCCTAAGAGAGTAGAAGGAAGGTTCTTCTCCCAGGCACCACGCAGCTTACAAGTGCAGGGGAGGGAAATGGTATCATCCAGTGCAGACACCTCCAAAGTGCTGTTTGAGGAAGAAAATACGAAAACTTCTGCAGATTTTTAACCACGGCCTTTAACATTTCTATTTTTTGAATGTTTCATGATATGTATACATAATATATCAGTGTTGTATATGTGCACAATACAAAAATAATTAAATATACAGACAGCAGGTATACAAACTCAAGCATTTTCACTGGCAGAGGTATGTAATACCTACTATACATGGGCCTCAGTCTCCCCTGTGTAAAATGGGAGGGGACTACCTGATGCCGAGTGTAGAAAGAATATGTGCTTTGGCGTCAAGGCAAACCTGGATTTGAACCAGGTCTCTGCCACCTACTAGCTGTGCAACCCCTGGACCAGTTCTTCAGCCTTTCTTAACTTCAGTTTCATCATGTCTAATAAGGAGATAAAAATGCCTTTTACTGCTGTAAGAAATATATGAGACAATTCATCGAAAGTGTTGAGCACATAGTAAGAGTTTTATGTTTGTTCTTATTAAGTATTTACATTGCTTACATAATTGATCATGTCTTTGAAGGCATCGGAAGCAGAGAACACACAATGTGCACAATGTGAGTACATTTTTCTAAATAAAACACACTCTATTCATATGGAAAGAACCATACTGAGGTGGTAGCACTGATAGAATTATCTCTGGCATAATCTTTTCTGTTTTGAGGAGATGCACGTGGGGGAGAAACAGGGCTACTTACAGATGGGAAAGAGAGGTCAGGTCATCGAAGGAGCCTTCGGGAACGCTGGAGATGTCGTTGCCATGGAGGGTTCTGAAGCAGAAGCACAGGTTAGAAGGTTAACCCCCAGTAACAGCTCTGAACTCAGTACAATCTCTTGGCATCCCAGGCTGGCCCAGTCATGCCTCTGAGCATGCAGAGCCCCACTGCCAGCAGCAGGAGGGGATGTCTCCTTCATGTCACGTGCACGGATCAGCAGCAGGGATGTCGGGAGTAGAGGGTTAGGGAAAGACAAAGATGA